TTATGGTGGTAGAGTGTGTAAGTAGTTATGTTGGTAGTGTTAGTAGTTATGGTGGTAGAGTGTGTTAGTAGTTATGGTGTAAGAGTGTATTAGTAGTTATGGTGGTAGTGTGTTAGTAGTTATGGTGGTAGAGTGTGTTAGTAGTTATGGTGGTAGTGTTAGTAGTTATGGTGGTAGAGTGTGTTAGTAGTTATGGTGGTAGTGTTAGTAGTTATGGTGGTAGAGTGTGTTAGTAGTTATGGTGGTAGAGTGTGTTAGTAGTTATGGTGGTAGAGTGTGTTAGTAGTTATGGTGGTAGTGTTAGTAGTTATGGAGGTAGAGTGTGTTTGTAATTATGGTGGTAGAGTGTGTTATTAGTTATGGTGGTAGAGTTTCTTAGTTATAGTGACAAGGAAAGTTACTGACCATTCAATATTACATCCACTATCATCATCACCATCACTACCACCTCAACCACCAACACTATCACCACTACCATCACCACCAACATTCACAGCACCACCATCACCACCACTATTCACAACATAACCATCACCACCACCATTCATAGTGCCACCATCATTCACAACACCACCATCACCACTACCATTCACAGCACCATCACCACCATCATTCACAGCACCACCACCAACATTCACAGTAACACCATCACCACCACCATTTACAGCACCACCAACATTCACAGCACCATATTCACCACCACCATTTACACCACCACCAACATTCACAGCACCACCATTCACAGCACCACCATCATCACCACCATTCACAGCACCACCAACACCATCACCATTCCCAACACAACCATCACCACCACCATCATTCACAACACCACCATCACCACCAACATTCACAGCACCACCATCACCACCACCACCACCATTAACACTATCACCACCACCTTTGACAGTACCACCATTGCCCCCACCACCATCATCACCACCACCATCGCCTGGCCTGGCTACCGATCGATCATACGGGCCAGGCGGGGGAGGCTAGAGGGGATGGGCCTGAGGTTGGTGTTGGAAAGGGGGGGGGGTGGGAGTGGAGGTTGGGGAAGAGGTTCTATATCGTATACAGAACAAATTAATCATGAAAATGTGGTGGCGTAACTATCAGTGAAGGAGAGTGACATCATATCAACAGGTCACGTCACAGAGCTCTGGGCTACGCTACGCTCACAGATAAATTTGCTCCTTGGCTGACAACACCAGCACAGTTGAGATGTCTCCCAGGCAACTCCCCGTCTGAATATCACCTTCTCGCTATCTTTCAGGGAGGAATTTGCATCACTTGCAGGTATGAAGCGAATCATGGTGTACTGATGGATATTGTTAACTCGGTGTACATCATCATAGTCAAGACAAGTAAATGAAAACGAAAACACTCCACACTTATATATTGAAGTGCAACAGTTGGATATGGGAAACCTCGAGCGTGTAACATTACTGTACCAAGGCGGGGCCCTCGGACAGTCTTTCTGAACATGTAACTCATATGATTGACACGACCCACGCACATAGGCACATACTGTATTATGTGGATTGTAAGTTTAAGTGTACCTGCAACATACACAAACAAATGTACGTATGAGACTGTGAGTGTGTGTGTGTGTGTGTGTGTGTGTGTGTGTGTGTTAATACATACACGTTACCTACCCTCTTGTCTACCTGATATAAAAATTAGGCTCATATACCAAAATGTACATTCACACTTGCATCATATAAGAATGCTCGTGCTCGAATTTTTGTGCATACACATTCACACACACACATATGCGCATAATCATACGAAAAACACACATAAACAAATAACCACAAATACTCACACATACAAATATTCAAACACACAAGCATAAACACACACGCAATTTCTCACGCACACACTTGTATTCAATCTCACAGACATATGCACGGACACAGAGAGACGGGTGGTAAAGACACAATGAGAGGCGCACACAGAGGCAGGGCAGGAGGGTGGCGCAGACGCAGGTGTGATGCCTGGCGGAGACAGTCATGTTGTTGACGGCCGGGTGTGGCCACCAACACCTCTTTCACCACTGCCTCCCCAAACTTACACATCTTCCTAACACTTAATTTTTCATGAATTTATCCTGAAATCGCAACGCTTTATCGCGTCTTTGTGAGCGGGTTTCGATCGGGAGAAGGTCGGGTGGGTGGGTCCGGGCGGGCCAGCCTACGTGATGGCAGGTTCGTCTTCAGCAGTCTGCGCAGTGAACCCTCGTTGGCCAGCCACTGTGCTCCAGCTTGATACTTCAATGGTGGACCTTTAAGATGGCTAACGCGGCTACGGGACACGGCAGGAGGCAGGCGAAGGGTACCCACTGATATATAGGAGGAAGTTCTCTCACTGGGAGGTAGGTAGGTAGGTAGGTAGTAAGGTAGGTAGGTAGGTAGGTAGGTAAATAAATAGATAGATAGATAGACAGATAGATACGTAGGTAGGTAGGTAGGTAGGTAGGTAGGTAGGTAGGTAGGTAGGTAGGTAGGTAGGTAGGTAGGTAGGTTGGTTGGTTGGTTTTGGCTGGTTGGTTGGTTGGTTGGTTTTGGCTGGTTGGTTGGTAGGAAGGTAGAAGGTATTAGAAGATATTGACATGAGACTCACCCTCACAGGTGTAGCCCTGGCCGATAATGCCCCACAGTAGATCGGTACAGTGGTGGCAGTAGACGGGCTTGTGAAAGGTTCGCTTCACGAAGCAGTGTGCGGGTGGGGAGGTCGGGGGCTGTAGGTGCGCCATACTGCCCTGCCCGTCGCCGCCGCCGTCGCCCTCGTCGTCGCTGCAGAAGTCGTTGCCGTCTAATGGGGCGAGACGCCGGAGGTGGGCGTCGTGTATAGTGTGCCGGGCGGCTGGCGCCTCGTGCTGCCCACCGGCCGCCTGGTGAGGGGTGTCCTGCTGGTGCTGGTGGGCGGGCGCGGCCACAAACAGCCAGCGCCACCACCTCAACCACCAGCAGCAGAAGCAGCGTCGCGGGCGTTGCTGCTGCTGCGGGCGGTCCTCAGGGCGGGCCTGAGCGGCCTGCCGACAGCGTGGCTGCGCCCCGCTCAACAGCCCGGATTGCGGGTGTGGGCGCCGCCCGTCCCTGCTACTGGGCGATGGGACCACAGCCAGACACCGGCCATCATCACGGAGGAAACATGTACACTGATCCCACCACAGCCGCCCCAAGCCTCGCCCGCTCCGGTCCGCCCCATGCGCCTGCGTCTCTAGCGCCCGCCCGCTCGCCCGGCCCCCGCCCGCCTGGGCCCATCCCCTGCCTCAGTTCCCACCCATCCCCTCCTCGGCCCCGACTCATTCCCTGCCTCGGCCCCGACCCATCCCTTACCTCGGCCCTGACCCATTCCCTACCTTGGCCGCGATCCATCCTCCGCCTCGGCTTCGACTCAAGTTCCAACTCTGCCCCGATCCAATTTACATGTCGACCCCGACCCATCCTATACCTCGGCCCCGACTCATCCTTTACCTCGGCCCCGACCCATCCATACCTCGGCTGACTCATCCCATACTACCTCAGCCCCGACCCATCCTATACCTCTCCCCGGCTTTCATCCTTTACCTCGGCCTGACTCATCCTACTCATCCTATACTCCTCCACCTCGGTCCCGACTCATCCTTTACCTCGGCCTGACTCATCCCATACCTCGACCCATCCCATACCTCGCCCCCATCTCCACCGACCATCCCATACCTCGGCCCGACCCATCCCATACCTCGACCCATCCCATACCTCGGCCCGACCCATCTCATACCTCGGCCTGACTCATCCTATACCTCGGCCCTGACTCATCCTTTACCTCGACCCTGACTCATCATCCCTCGGCCTGACTCCTCTATACCTCGGCCTGACTCATCCTACCTCGGCCCGGCTCACCCTCGGCTATACCTCGGCCTGACCCATCTATACCTCCGGCCCTGACTCATTCTATACCTCGGACCATCCTATACCACTCACCTCCTATACCTCGGCTCTGACTCCATCCTTTACCATACCTCGGCCCTGACTCATCCTATACCTCGGCCTCATCCTATACCTCCATCCTATATCCTCTGAGCCTGACCATCTATACCCACAGCCCTGACTCATCCTATACCTCCTATACCTCGGCTGTCATCCTTTACCTCGACCTGACTCATCCTATACCTCGGCTGACTCATCTATACCTCGGCCTGACTCATCTATACTTCGGCCCTGACATCCCTATACCTCGCCCTGACTCATCCTATACCTCGGCCTGACTCATCCCATACTTCAATCTCTGACTCATCCCATACCTCAGCCCTGACTCATTCTATACTCGGCCTGACTCATCCTATACCTCGGCCCTGACTCACTCATCCCGGCCTGACTCATCCCTACTTCGGCCCTGACTCATCCCACCTCGACCTGACTCACTCTATACCTCGGCCTGACTCATCCTATACCTCGGCCCTGACTCATCCTATACCGGCCCTGACCCATCCCTATACCTCGGGCCCATCTATACCACGCCTGACTCATCTATACCTATTCGACTCATCCTAACCTCGGCCCTGACTCATCCTTTACCCCCGACTCATCCTATACTTCGGCCCTGACTCATCCTATACCCTCTATGCCCTGACTCATCCTATACCGGCCCTGACTCATCCTATACCTCCGGCCTGACCATCCCATACTTCGGCCCATCCTATACCCGCTCTGACTCATCCTATACCTCGGCTCTGACTCATCCTTTACCTCGACTCATCCCTACCCTGACTCATCCTATACCTCGGCCCTGACTCATCCTATACTCCTATGTCCTTACTTCCTCATCCTTTACCTCGGCCCTGACCCATATATACCTCGGCCCCGACCCATCCCATACCTCGGCCCTGACTCATCTATACCGGGCTCATCCTATACCTCGGTCCCGACTCATCCCTTTACCTCGGCCTGACCCATCCTATACCTCCCTGACTCATTCCCCTACATCCCGACCAGGCCTGACTCCCGATACCTCGGCCCCCTGACTCATCCTATACCCAGCCCTGACTCATCCCCCGACTCATCCTATACCTCGGCCTGACTCATCCTATACCCTCGGCCCTGATCTATCCTCCCTCCATACCTCGGTCCTCATCCTTTACCCTCGGACCCACCCATCCTATACCTCGGCCCTGACTCATTCTACCTCGGCCCTGACTCATCCTATACCTCGCCCCGACCATCCTTTACCTCGGCCCTGACCCATCCTATACCTCACCCCTCATCCCTGAACTCATCCTATACCTCGGCCCTGACTCATCTATACCTCCCTGACTCATTCTATACCTCGGACTTATCATCCTATATCTCGGCCCCGACCCATCCTATACCTAGGCCTGATCATCCTATACCTCGGCCCTCTCATCCTATACCTCTGGCCACTCATCCTATTCCTCGGCCACGACTCATCTCCTGCCTCTTGGCCCCGACCCAATTTATGAGGTTCGGCTTTGGCCCAACTATTGCCTCGCCCTGGACTGAGTATCTACCAGCGCCCTCAACAATATTTTGCCTCAGACGCGAGCCAATTTGTTTCTTGGCCGTGACCCATCTTTTACCTCGGCCGTGACCCATCGGCCGTGACCCATCTTTACCTCAGCCGTGTGACCCATCTTTTACCTCGCGTGACTCATCTCTTACCTCGGCCGTGACCCATCTTTTACCTTGGCATTGAACCATCTTTTACCTACCCATCACCTCACCTCACCACCAATATAAAAGGGTGACCCAACCTCCACCTTGACCCAGCCTCCATCTTGACCCAACCTCCACTTTGATCTAGTCCGACCCAACCTCCACCTTGAGCCTCTCCACCTCCACCTAACCTCCACCTTGATCCAGCCTCCACCTCGACCCAACCTCCACCTTGATCCGCCTCCGACCCAACCTCCATCTCGACCCTTGATACAGCCTCCACCTTGACCCAACCTCCACTTTGATCCAGCCTCCACCTCGACCCAACCTCCACCTTGATCCAGCCTCCACCTCCACCCAACCTCCACCTCACTCTTGATCCAGCCTCCACCTCGACCCAACCTCGACCCAACCTCCACCTTGATCCAGCCTCCACCTTGACCCAACCTCCACCTTGATCCAGCCTCCTCCACCCAACCTCCCCCCTTGATCCAACCTCCACCTCCCAACCTTCTATCCACCTTCCCACCTCCACCCTGACCCATCCACCTCCACCTCGACACAACTCCACCTTGACTTACCTCCACCTTGATCCAGCCTCCAACCTACACCTTGATCCAGCCTCCACCTCGACACAACCTCCACCTCGACAACCTCCACCTTGATGCAGCCACACCTCGACCCAACCTCCACCTTGATCTAGCCTCCACCTCGACCCAACCTGACCTCCACTTTGATCCAGCCTCCCTCCACCTTGATCCAGCCTCCCCAACTCCCACCTTGATCCACCTCCACCTACCAACCTCCACCTTGATCCAGCCTCCACTCCCGACCTCCACCTCGACACCTCCACCTTGACCCTCCTTGATCCAGCCTCCACCTCGACCCAACCTCCACCTTTGATCCAGCCTCCACAGTCGACCCAACCTCCCCACCTTGACCTTGATCCAGCCTCCACCTCGACCCAACTCCAACCTCCACCTCCAGACCCAACCTCCACCAGCCTCCACTGACCTCCACCCTTGATCCAGCTCCACCTCCACCCCACCTAATCCACCTCGATCCAACCTCCACCTTGATCCAGCCTCCACCCTCCGACCCCATCCCACTCCACCTTGATCCAGCCTCCACCTCGATCCAACTCTCCCACCTCGATCCAACCTCCACCTTGATCCAGCCTCCACCTCGACCCAACCTCCCACCTTGATCCAGCCTCCACCTCGACCCAACCTCCACCTTGATCCAGCCTCCGCCTCGACCCAACCTCCACCTCGACCCAACCTCCACCTTGATCCAACCTCCACCTCGACCCAATCTCCACCTCGACCCAACCTCCACCTTGATCCAGCCTCCACCTCGACCATGCCTCCATCGTTTCATGTTCTCTCCACCACTACCTGCTCCAGCCACCACTACATTACCTGTTCCCCCTCCACGAATTTGACACACACACACTATGGTAAGTCTTCCCTCCATTATTTTTTTTACCTTCATTAGGCCTGTTTCCCATATAATCTATGTAATAGTGCCTGAAAATTTTCTAATCATTTGTGTGGAAGTTTAGAGTTGTGCGGACTGTATCGCTATTATGTTATGATTTTGTAGTTGTTCAATGGAGGTATTAAATTATTGTCCCTTTTCATAACTCACTTGTGAAAATGTTGTTCAGTTTTTATTACATCAAGATTTTCTTGCCATCACGGTACTCAGTAACTTGCTAGGTGGCATTTGTAGGCACATACATCAGCACTTGTGGATATTTAAAGACTACCATTACAGTACTGGTAAGAATGATTGGTACCAAGTCTAGTGGAAAGGAAGTGATTCTGGGTCAGGTGACAGTAATTATGTATCGTTTTCTGTTGTTTACATATTTTAAAATCATAGGAATCGTGATTACAGTTTTTAATGTAATTGTAATCGATTGCATTACTTGTAAAGGAAATCGTAATCAGGGAATTGCAAGGTAATCGTAATCGGTTCCATTTGTGGAGGAATCCTAAAATGTTTGGTCGTAAGTGAAATCGAAAAGTCCCCCAAATCCGATTTTTTTAAATTTCCTACGGTAACGTAATACAGTATAGATCTTTTTTTCTCTATCTCTCTATATAAATATAAATATGACGTTTCGTGGTCGATCCTTACCCAATCTTAACCTTTAAATTGTTTCTCGAACAGATCAAAGCTGAATATGGTGCTCGTTTTACTCACAGAAATCAGTCAGGTGGTTAAGTAGGGGAACTATGCTGCCAGGATTCACAGACTTATTGTCTGAAATCATCATAAATTGTCAATGAAAAAGGGAAAGCAGTTCCAGAATTTGAAAATACAGAGTGGGTTTGTGGTCTACAGTAGCATTTCTCGTTGATGTTATCAGTCATCTAAATAGGTCAAATACTAGACTTCAAGGGCGTAAGCAGCTCGTTTCATAGCTTGCAAATCACATAACGGCTTTTCAACATATACTAGACCTGTTCCATTCGCGGGTTCTTCAAGGTGAATTAGCTTATTTTCCAACATATCAAAATAAAGCTGGAAACTATTTAAGAAATAGAAAAATTCTTAAAGAAGCGTTTAACAAAAGCTTCCAAGACTTCAAAAAATAACATAGAAATTTGAAACTGTTCTGCAATCCTCTCTCCATATCTCCTGGTGGATCTGAACCAGAATTTCAGTCAGAACTTAGACCTATGAGGCTGTAACGCACTTCACTCCAAGTTTATGGAAGAGAATATAACCGATCTTAACAGGTCAAAGGTTCGAAATGGATTGAACAGCAACAGCGACAATGAAATTTGATACCAATATCACGATACAGTACTTGTTTAAAAAATGAAGTGCTAAGTCACGCTAACAAGTCATTTTCTCAATGGTGAGAATTTTTTTTCTATTTCACCACACAAATTTAGTCTTAATAAATAATGTCAACCAATTCAATTCAATTTCAATTGTTTATTCCTTGATAGAGGAAGCGGGATCCTAGTGCTGTCACTAGGTACCCCTGTACAATGACACCAGAAGCATCTGGCAAGTGTGACAAGTATATATAGTATAAATATTATAAAGGAAGGATATTCCTTTAACACATAATCAATATTATTTACAAAATATCTGGCCAGTATGGGGAGGATCATCGTGTCTCCGTCAGGGGGTCGTGGAGTGGTGGTCTAGCAGGCGTCACGGAAGCGTTGTGTGTGGGGACATCTTAGGAGGTAGTGGATAAGGGTGCTGCTGTCGGGTCTTCTGCATAATGCACAAGAGCGTTGCTCAGGGGATACGGGGATACCAATCTCCCAAGCAAAGTCATACCCAATGATGATACGAGCAGCAATCACGTCCCCTTTCCGCGACCCTTTCCCATAGATAATGTCAATCTTATCAAAAGTGTATTTCTGATAGGCTGTTGTTGTGTATAAACTGTATCTGACCTAACCCCCCAGTGTGTATGAATTGTAGCTGATCTAACCCCCCATACATTGACTCCTCGTTCATAACATCGAAGACATTTCCAGTGAGAGGTATCTGACTTAGTTGGGGGAGGTAACTTCGAGGTAGAGACATCGGAGGTAGTGAGTGATGAAGGGGTCTGGTGAGGGCATGAACGGGAGTCAGGGGCCTCAGCGCACCAGGCACATTTCTCTGGAGCAGAGCAGTAGCGGGATATATGACCGATTCCCCAGCACTTGCAGCACCATGGTTGTTCGGTCTTCATTTTGCGTAGTTCACAAGATGGGAGACAATGGAAGAAGTTGAAGGTTATAGCTGGTGGGGGAGGGTCTAGGAGACTCCAGACAACAAACCGGTTGTTGGGTTTTCCATTCTGATGGAAACTACGAGCAGAATGGATACCAGGAATTTCTTTGGCAAGGGAAGGATCAATGCATAATTTATAGGGTAGCTAGTGAGGAGGTAGTTAAGGAATTTATGGGGCCTATCGAGGTGAATCCTGAACGTCGAAGAGCAGGGAGAGGAACTCACCAGTCTCAACCCTATCTAAGATGTCCGTGTGTCGTCTGGAGATGTAGACGAAGCGAGAGGTAACAACAGACATCTTGACCTCAACAAGGTCTCGGTCGAGGAGAGAGGTCCTGGTGGCCTCGGCTAGCCAGTGTATTTTTGTTTCGACCGAGGGGTTTCCTATGAAGAGGAATTTGATGTAGTCAGCTCGGGGGGCAAAAGCTGGAGGTTAGGCGCGGGTTGGGAAGCGGCAAGAGACGAAGTTGCCCAAGAGATGGGATGCCTGTGTGCTGGAAGCTGTACGTGGTCGGGTGAGTTGCGTGTTCCCAGTTCGGCGGCTTCCTGCGCTGTAGTGCACGAGGGACCCACGTGCTGAGAAGCAGAAGCCTCTTTATTCTTGGGAGTTTTGGAGGCAAGAGACGGAGATTCCCTGTCACCGCCACTGTCTGAAGTGGACTCCAAGGGGCGTTTGGTGGTGGTAGAGGCCTGGTGGCTAAGCAAAGCAGGAGGGGCCAAACTTCCCCGGGCGGCATATCCTCGGGGGTATTCCGTCCGGTCCATGCGCCTTACTCACATCCAACCTTGATAACACACCAGCAACCCTACGAGTGGAGATTTTAGGAAAGTGTATAGGTTCAGTAGGAGTAGTAGGAGGGATAGAGTTGGAATCGTTGAAGGTGGAGTTAGAAGAGAATAAGGTGCCAAAGAGATTGGCTTTATCAGGGGGAGAGTTGGCTATAGAGTTATCGGGTCGGAAGAGAGGAGGAAAAGTGGGAGTGCAGAAGTTATTACAGATGTTTTTGGTTAAGGACCAGAAGGATTTACTAGAAGAGGAGTTAGTAAGGACAGCGGTCTTTCTTTTTATAAAATTCCGCCCGGCCCTATGAAGAATAGCCTTACCACGATTCCTGGAAGTAATGAAAGAGGAGGCGAGCGCCTTGTAAACAATGCGATTTCTAACCACACCCTGCAAAATACAGTGTACTTAGCAAATGCTGCAGCTTCTGAGAATAGGGGGGGGGGAGGGGGGTTACTACTAAGAGCAGAGACGTTACCGAGAACAAATTCTAGCTTGAATGTCATGTACACTAATACTGACACGTTCCTTAATAACAGAGATGAGTTTGAAACACTACTGAAGGTACACCAACCAGATATTGTAGGAGTTGTTGAACTGTTGTACAAGAACAGGAGAATCGACCCAGAGGAATGTGAGTTCAGTATTGCTGGATATGACTCATTTACGAACCTTTCTCAAGAAACTTGCAAGAGGGGTGTGGTTATCTATGCTAGGCAAGACCTTAGAGCCAGCCAGGCGAGGGTACAGGGAGAGGATGTTTTTGAAGAGTCCAAGTGGTGTAAAATTAAACTAAAGGGAAGGGAATTACTTATTGTCGGGTGTATCTACAGATCCCCAAACTGTGGCCCACTAAATCAAAGGAACTTAAGAGCCTAATAGACAACGCGGCGATGCTCAACCCTAGCCACCTCCTTATCATGGGGAACTTTAACTATGGAGACATCGACTGGAGAAACGAGTTCACCCCAAGTGACTTGAATAACCCTGCTACTCTTTTTGTAGAAACTCTGAGAGATAATTTTCTGTTCCAAAATGTTAGAGACCCGACACATTACAGAGGGGAGTAAACACTCAAGCCACTAGACCTCATCATAACAAACGAGGAGGGTATGGTGGCCAAACTGGAACACCTTGCCCCAGTTGGCACCAGTCACCATATAGTGTTGTCATTCAGACTTAACTGTTACCTAGTTCAAGATAACGCCCGGCCAAGGTGCAAATATTACAAGGGAAATTACAACGGGATGAGGGAAGAGATGAGGGGTATCCACTGGCCTGACTCATTAAGGCACAAGAACGCAGACACGCTGAATATCATAACTAGTAAAATGACCCATTTGATCGCTAAATATATACCCAAGACCAAACCCAGTGCCTCTAGGAATACAAGGGGATCCCTACACATGAACCATGCAGCGGTCGACAAAGTTAAGAAGAAAACCCAGAAATTCAAGATGTGGGTTGGGTCAAATGATGAGCAGGACAGGAGGATGTATGCAAGAGTCAGAAACCAAGCAAAGATAGAATGTTGAAGGGCTGAAAAGGAGTTCCAGAGGCTGGTTGCAAGCGAGGTCAAGTCAAACCCGAAGGCGTTTTACCGCAATGCAAAGTCGAAATTAAAAACGCGAGTAGGAGTATCAGGCCTGAGGCTTGAAGATGGTAGGTACGCAGATTCTGACCAGGATAAAGCTGAGGTATTGAACAACTTCTTTTCCTCGGTGTTCACAAGAGAGGATGCGATTAACCTTCCTGCGTTTGAGGACAGACGGTTCGACACAGCACTAACCCACATTGTGTTCACAGAAGAAGGTATTAGAAATAAACTGTAAAAGCTAAAGGTCCA